CTTCTGCAAAAGTCCCTTTGTAGTTAGAGTGTAAGAGTGTGATGATATTGGTGCACAATTATGATTTTCATCTCGTGCAAAAATGTTCAAACCCCAAAGAAGAAGCTTTATGCTACAGCATAAACGACAATGATACGTGAATGACGTATGATATTATTTCTATATACTTCAACTCTCGACATTTCGACAAAATATCTAAATAAAACGTAAAGAAGAAACATGTATAAAAAGTATATACGAAACGTGAATGTAATTTTTTCCATTCATTGAAAAAAATGAAAAATTTTAAGTTAAAAAGTTTTCACTTAATTAAAATTTTAATTAAAAGAATCTGAATAAAATAAATAACGCGTTTCGAAATAAATAAAGGTAAATTTTAATCAAAATTATTATTATAAGAATAACATTCTGAAAATAAAATGAATTGACATCTGAATGTATTTAGATATTTAAATTGGCTCGATACATCAGAGCACAAAGAACTAAAATCTAGATAGAAACAAAACGAATGATCAAAAGACAATTCGATTTATTTTTAAGCCTATTCACCCCAAAGGGGTGCGTTTTAATGGCAACATCGTTCCCTATTGGTTTTATAGGTTACGAGAACTTCAAATTGAGAGTCACTGACGTAAATATAGGTACAGGGGTGAAAACAGGGTGCGCATTCCAAAGCCTTGGATCTAGGTATCCTCGCGCATTCATTCATAAAAATTCACTCAACCGCGTGGCTACTCCCACCGAGAGAATTAGAGGGTTCGCTCCAACCCCGATCAGTATGACAGCTCGACAAAGTTAAAGGGTACTGTGCCTCGTCTTTTCAGCTCTCCACCAAAGCGAACGATCGCTAATTCCGTCTTGGTTGGATAGAAATATTTTTATAGCTGTACAATTTTTTTCATAATATTAATTAGTAAGAGTTTACATTTAGAAAATTGAAATTTTAATTGCATGAAAATTAAGAAGAGAGACTCATTTTGTTATACAATTAACAATGTCAATAACAAGATTTATAAAAATAATACTTTATTGTATAAATAGAATAGAGATGATAAAAAAGAATTTTAAAAAAATTTTCAAGCTATAACGATTCTTTTTTTTATTACTATTCATAATCGTAATAGTAACCCTAATAATTCTGACTTTCCGGGGAAGATTTTGCCATTGATATTCTACTAGCGTACAGCAAATTATCATATCTTATGTCTCACGATGTTAATAAAGAAATCACTTTAATTAACAATTTCAAGATATCAGTTGTTTATACTTTTGTTACTTTTTTTCTTTTTTATTGTTAAAAGAAAAATAAAAAATATGAGAGTAAGTTTAATTCCATATGTAATAACATTTCATATATATATATATATATATATATATATATATAAATTATATTATTTTCATTTTTATATTAAGTAATTAAACATTGATATAATTTAATTTACCTTATAAAGTTTTATTCAAGAATCACGCAAATCGAGAAGCGGAGGAAAGTAATACTGGTGGCACCATCTATGGTCGTTTTCTCCAAATTCAAGCAACGCAACGTTTTATTTCTATTGATTTTTAAAAGTCTATACTTTTATTGTATCTATACTAAATTGTTAAAACAAACAATTTATCAACTACTAAACCAAAATATCTAATTCGTCGTTAAATAAAAAATTTCTAAATTAAATAAAAAATAATTCAAATCTAATATTTTAACAATAATTTCTTTTACATGTAAGATGCTTATATAATGATTAAAAAATGACTATTTATATTAAATATTATTGCAAATGATATTATTTTATCATTGAATTATCGATAATTAATATAAATAATATTTCCATTTAAATAAAATTTAATTTTAAAAAGTTTACTCATAAAGTAAAATAATTGTTTCTAGAAATAGAAAACCTTTTTTCTTTAATCTACATCATACAGCATCAATTTTTACTTATAGTTCTTACGAAACCCCTTACCCTCTTTCCGTTATGCGCGCCGTTGGTTAAATAGCTAACTTTGCACAACTATCCCAATAGATTATCATTATTGTGGAGGAAAGCTCTGATTTATGCAATTATCATAAATTCAGTTCCACCCCTTACCTTACGTATGCTTAAGACGCTCCAACCATGGTTGGAATCATGATTCCATTCATAAGACATTTCAATAGCAAATTATTTTCTCGTAAAGCACGTACATTTCCTCTAAAAAGTTATTCAAAAAATTCAAATAAAAATAATATCCGTAAAATAAATTATTTTTCTATCTCATTGAAAAATCAAATGCATTATGACAAAAATGTATTTTTCTTCAATATTAAAAAATATCCCAAATCGTTTCTTTTTTTAATGTTAAAAAAAAAATTTATTTATATAACTTGAAAAATTTAATAGCAATAATAAAATAAAATAGCAATAATATAATATATTTGTCAAATCTTTAACAAATATGAAAGTGTGAATATAGACTTACTTAATATCATATACAATTATAATTATAATTAATATAATAATATGAAAGGTTTTAATTTTAAATATTTTGAATAATAGAATTTTTTAAATCAAACATTAATCGGTATTTTTAAAATCTTTATCATCGTTTTTGAATATTCATTCCAACTAACTTACAATTTGTCGATAATAGATTATTTTCCCCACAGTAATCTACTTTACCGATAAACCTTGACTTTGTCGGTATATTACTGAAACGAAGCATCCTCAACTATGAACCATTGTTGATAAGAATGTACTGTCGGTAATAATTTCCTTCTTCAAATATTTTTAATATTTTATTCAAAATTTTATATTTTATTTATTATTATCAAATTGAAATTCATCTAATTAAAGCTGATAATATATCAAACATCTTATTCTTCTTAATGCAATGAAATATTTGATTATCGACTGAGAATCAAATGGTAGTGTCTGACTAAAGCGGTATTTACTACTGATTGGTAATATTCTATTCTACTTTCTATTTTGGAAGATATTAAATATAAAATTGCGAACATTAATAAACAACTTACATGATATAATAATTTTGTATACCAATGGAATTAATCAAAGAAAAATTGCAATAAAAATATTTAAATTTATCAATAATATATTGTTTTAAAGATTATTCTTACTTTACTGTCTCAGAAAATTTTTATAACATTATCATAAGTAGTTTTTAACAGAAAAATCTATAACGTCAGATTTAAGCATCGAACGTACAAACCATTTTGTACGGTTAGAGGAAATTCCTTTTCTCTCCAATTACGCGGTTCAAACTTTGGAAACTTTGTCGACGAATCTCGGTGGGAAAAGGTTTGAAACTCCTCGAGAAACTTTAAAAATCGTTATTTTACAGGAAAGCCGAAGCTTCCCCTACCAAGTTACGTGAATCCCTTCTTCATGACTCTCTGCCAGATAAAATAGAATGGAAAAGTAACAAAAGAATAATCATAATCAATTGCAATAAAAACTTTTTCAATCAACCAAAACCAAGATATTTTTTACATATATTTAAAATTATATAAAATAATTTCATTTTATACATATATAGATCATTTAAATAATAATCTTTGAAAAATACAATAGTAAATAATATTTTTATAAAACATAAGAATAAGTTGTAAACTACAAAATATTGATAATCTTAAAATTTCACTTTAAAAAATAAAATACAGAATAATAAGAAATATACAAACAACAACAAAATATACAAAAAAATTTCTATTTAAATAATTTATACATAAGTTCTAATGAATTTAATTAATTAATAGAATTCATGAGATTAAATTTGCAAAAGAAAAGAAATTTGTAAAATAATACACCTATATAATAAAATAATTATTCAATATTCAAATCATGTTATATATTAATATTTCATGAATCAAATATGCCAAAATGAAATTATTAAAATTAAAATAGGATTCTAATAAAATTCTAAAAATTATTTTTAAGAAAGATATCCTGATAATTATAATATATCATATAATGAAAATTAAGTTAAAAATTATTTATTCCGTTATTGCGTAAATTCGAGCATCTAGATTTATACGAGTAATAACAAAGTGCCGAATGATCGATAAAAAAATCACGATAAAGTAAAACGTCAGCAATTTGTGCTGTTACGATGGTTTCACTTTACGTTTTTCGTCAATCCCATTTTTTTTTTTTTTTTTTTTACGAACAAAAGTTTAATCGCTATTCTATTCATTCTGTACGTATGAACGAGTTTAATGTTACAAATAATTAAAACTGAGCTCCGTAATAACAAAGGACAAACCACATGGAACATTACAACATTCGTGAAGAATAGATTAAACATATTATCTTACATTTTAGCGACATTTAAATATTTTATTCCACTATTATTACAATACAATGGATTCTAATAACTGCTGCATATTCTTAAAATAAAACTCTCATTGTGCCAAGTATTAAGCATTATTCGCAAATGAGAAAGCAAAAATACATTTTTTACGTTCCTTGAAGAAAAATTAACTTTAAATTTAAAAATGTATGATTATTTCAATTAATATTTGGGCATCGTGGAAAAATTATTGAAAAAGAAAAAATAACTTCACTTTAAACAACCAATCTTATACGAGATCAGAAAAATTTTCGAAGAAACTTCAAACGGTCGCATCTCTGTCATTAAACTTTTAAACTTCGTTACTTATACTTTTACGAGACATTATAGGACAAATGACTTGTAGAATTTTAATTATAAGTTTCATAATGAAGAACGCGCAACGTCGGGAAAGGTTATGAAAATGATCCGCTACTTCTTAGTACTTAAATAGTGGAAGTAATTAATTTTATATTTAATTATATCTCTCGGATCCTCGTTAAAACACGTCGTAAGTGAATTTTTAACGCAGATTCAATTTTAATTTCGCAACTCTTCAAAGGATTGTTAACGCAACGAGGAGAAAAAAAGAAGAAGAAAGTAATTGATCTTTATGTTCTTGCAAATTGAATGACAACAAAAGATTTTTTATAACTTATTCATGCTTCACTTACCTTTTTCGGAGAGGGATGCAGCACAGTCACCGGGACCTGTCGAGGGGTTGGAATAAGTGGCGTTTGGGTCGACTCCTTCACAGAATATAACGGTAATTTTGTCTCTCTGTTGCTTGGCAGCTCTAGTAAATGCTGTATAGAATGGTTTTGCCTCGTCTTCTTTGACGCCATTCTATCGCAGAAAAAGAAAAAGAAAAATCGAACCATTAACGACACTATTAATGCTCGATATTTAAGCATACATTAGTAAACAGGACATCAAATGCTAATAACATAATTACCGTATGAATTATTTGTTATATAGATATTAATTGCATAACGAAATTTATGGATGGTTTCAATAATGAATAATGAAGAGATGTCAAAGAGTATTCGTTACAATTGCTGTAAATCTGATCGATATAATATAAATTTCCATATTTGTTATTTATATTAAAAAAATAATAATAATAAAATTCCCAATAATTCGGTCAATTTGCATGGAACGCGTGCAAATAAAATTTTAAAAAATACACGTGATATTACACGTAATATTTCCACCAGGTCAAATGGTATAAATATAAATTATAAATGTTATGATTGTATCAAGGTATATCCAAATTTGGACATAACGGTGTGCGTAGATCCCTTTTTCCAGCAGCGTCGTGAAACTGGATATCGGATAAAACTTTCGCATTTAACTTTTCCGTCCTGTAGGGGAAATGGCCAACAAAGCTCATCACCGGAAACTTTTCCGAGACAAAGAGGGGTGAACAGGAGGAGAACGAGATAGAAGATGACGCGCGCCGCGACGCTGACCACGATATAAACCTATACTCTATATCACCATCTCTATATCAAAGTTTACACCCGTGATCGCGCTCAAACTCTCCGTATATAGATGTATTTTTTATTATTATAATCTATTATAATATTATTATAATATCGAATGAATATTAAACTTTTCGCGAGAGCAATCGTATCAAATTCAAATGTCTCACCGTTAAAAATAATAATAGATATCGACGAATTCTCATTTTGTTCTAATAAACGTCAAAAGAAAATCAAGACAAAGAAATCTTCCAAAGGAAGCTAAATATTATTTGACAAACAATATCGGATCCAAAATCAAAGTTAGTCAAAAATAAATTATTCTCTGGCACTCTCTTCATAAATTCATTCACTTTTTTTTTACGGGATGTATGAAAATGTTCTAATCAAAACTATTCACGACGAACGGAAGAGAGATGATTTTTTATTACAATGGTTGAAACTTATTTTCCAACTTATTTTCCTTAAATCACTCGAGTGAACGACTTACTTTTGTCATCATCGTAAACGGTTTTCAAATTATAAAACACTCGAAGAAAGAATACGGAATTGCGCAAAGCGCGGGACACGAGCAAAAAGTGATGCCTTTCAATGATTTAAACTGGAGGACATCGCGACGAGCGTGTGTATGTGCGTTTAAAGTTGACTGCACGTGCTGGTTGAGGATCGCTCGGCGCGCTTGTCAGCTACCACCGGGAATGGTGGGGTAACTCACCCCTGTAGCCGCCGCGAAAGTTTGTTCTCTTGTGTGTTTACGCACGCGCCAGATCGTGCACACACGGCCGACCAAGTGCACTTATAGCAACGCACGATGTCGGCGAGCATTACGACCGTGACCTTACCGACCACACCGAATTGAAATCGAAAAACTGGAAGGAGCGTTGAGGCCAATTGGATTCATTACGATTATCCATACCTCGTATTGGATTTCGATCTTATTTAGTATGCAATATCGTTTTTTATCGAATCGATATCTTTTTTTATAGAGTAATGAAAGAGACTGTTACCATATTTGCATTAAACGTTGTAAAATAAAAATTTAAAATGAATTTTTCTCTGGTATATAGATGTATATTTTTTTCTCTGATATAGATTGATATATATGTACAAATTTGATGATCAAAAATAAAATTTGTTCATTTTAATGGTAATGAATACAAGTAGATAAATGATAGAAGTTTGTTTTACATGTAAAATAAGAAAAGCATATAGAATATTATTTTTTTTAACTTCGTTTACAAAAGAATTAAATTGGAAAATTTATCGAATATATATATATATATATTTATCTGGCTAATTGTTAACAGAACATATTAAAATTCGAGTTTTTGAAAACGAAAATTTAAAAATTTTGTTTTATTTGTTTATTTATCTTTATATAGAGGATTATTGATTATATCATAAATTACTTTATATGTTCTATATTGAATTTTTTTACTATTATTAAAAGTTATATAACAATTTTAAAATTAAATTAATAAAAAGATAATATTTCCATTCTTTATATGAATATAACATTAGCAAATTATAATTTAAATTGTAAAAAGCATTAAGAGCGTTTTAAAAAATGTATCTATTAGAAACCTTCTTACTGAATATATAGATACATTGCAATAATTTCACGCGTAATTTTTTAAGAAATTAATTCCACAAAATATATAAAAAAATTGAACGTGAAGTTATTTCAATTAATATATAAATCTATCACAATGATTACTTTCCAAATTAATACAAGCTTGATTCCAGTATACATTTTAATTCAATTACTTGGAAGCCAATATGTTATACATGAATAGGAATATTCATCTATATGCTTTGTGCATGACGTGAAATGGATATTAATTTTTGTAATTTCAATACTGATATTTCGAAACAAAGTATATGCGATTATTTTAGCACGAAAAAATTTATGGTTTCTTACTGTTAAAACAGCTATGCGAAAACTAATTTTATAACTCCTTGTAGCAATGTTTAAATACTTTTCATCAAAAAGTAATATTCAATTTTCAACTATATACAACTTTAGAAAAACTTTAGAACAAGTTAAATATTATTTTGTTTAATAGATATAGAAAGATAATTTTTAGTTTATTTTTACTCAAAAGTAAAGAGGATCGTGAAAATTGTTAATTAAAGATAGCAATGAATATTACATTGCAAAATAAAATCCATCAAAATTATGATCTTAGAGATATCATGCAAATATTTTCTTTCTATCTTTTCATTAACGTGTATATTATAGAAACGATAATGTATGATTAATTCTTTTTAATTTTTCATACCGTGAAAATATTCATTCATTCAGATGAAAATTAATTTAAATTAATTTAAAAATTATTTTATATTAATTTAAATCACTAAACTGAAATTTCGATATATATATAGTTCAATTTTGAAACGAAAGCTTAAATATTAATGCGATAAGTTATTTATAAAAAATATTTTCTTCCACATGAATTCAATGAAGAAGTAAAATGCAATATGAACACATATTTTTATGAGTAATTTAATAAAAATACTCTTATGACTAAATACCTGGATAAAATAATTAAAACATTTTAATATTGCAAAATATTTTCCCCTGATATTTTTTATATTCCTCAGTCCGTTAAAAATAACATATATGTCGTGCAAAAAAATTCGTCAATTCGGATTTAATTGTTCCCTTTTATCTGTAATATTGTACTATAAAATTATGCAAATATTTCATTTTAATTCAACACAACGTGATATTAAAATTGTTTTTTTATTAAAAATAATAGGCGCAAATTGATATTGTATATTCGCAAAAGTTTGGACATTTAATAGATTTTTATAACATAAAAGTTTGACATAAAGCTAAGTTTTAATACAAAGTGCATAGTGAAATAAATTTTTAGCGAAATATTTATTTAACAAAATTTTTAGTAATCTCTTTTTCCATTTTTTTCTATTTCTTTTCGATCAATTTATATATATATAATATAATATACAATAGATAAAATTATGTTACTATTATACTTCTTCAAACTTCGTTCGAATTGAAAAGTATCAGAATTAAAGAAAGAATTATGAATTTCAACAAAAAAAATTTAATTCATATGTCTTCCACGTTAACACGATATTAATATCATATTTTATTATTTTTTTATTAATAATCAATAGTACATGATTGCGTAATACAATGACTTGCATGCAACATTCGTTTAATTTTATTTTCACCAAATTATTACATTACATCATTCTTCCGTTTCAAAATGATGTTATAATATGCAGTATAAAACTACATCATGTATTTCATAAATGATAAAATTAATATCTTTTATTCTCTCTCCCAATCCCTTTCCCTTCCGTATCGAACACATATGACAAATTGATGTAATTTGTAAAGATTTACAATATGAAACGTGTATAAATTTTATAATCAATATTAAATCTATGTGTAAGATCTATCAAACGATTCTGTGAATCGATAAAAAAAAAAAGATCATATGAAATTAATGATGATATAACCAGCTGAAAAAAATCTGTAATTGCTCCGAAATTACGTGAAAACGAAATATTTCACAATATTGGTTAAAACGTTAACGATTCGATTTGAATGACTTGTATCTCATGGCACGATAGTGTGCACTTTCAGCATTCATTCTTCCCAATCGCAATACAACAAATAAACGATTGTGTACACGCTATTAATCTGAATTTTGTCTGATTGATGTTTCATACGTTTAAATCAAATGATACACCTATATAATATCGTTTAATCAATTATACGTTACTTCAAAATATAAATTAGAATCAAATATAGTAAAATTAAATTTCTTTATTAATTCGAGATATATTTTACATTAATTCTTCTAATATGATCTAAAATCTATGCTCTTCCTAAAATCGAGTATCAAGTATTCTTTCTTCTATTTGAATAATCATTAAGAAACAATTATATCCGTATCATAATGACAAAAGAGATTTATCGAACAGAATATTTATCATCGAACAGGACTCGAGTCGCTATTAAATCATCGTATCGTTATTAGATGACACAGCGATAGAAACGAGGGAGAAAAGCATCGAACGATAAAAAAGAAAGAAAGAAAGAATAAGAGGAAGAAGATGAGGGAGGTGGCGGAAGGTACGTATTTCAGTCATCCGGCCAACTTTTGCAAGTTTAATGCCCGAGCGCTCGAGTAATTTAACACGACGAAATTAACTTTTCAGTTTTACCAAAGTTTCCTGGCAACTTAACCACGTTTCCGCGTCCCTTTCCAGCGTATCGCGCGTTCTCGCTTCTTCTGGCTTCTTCTTCCACTTCGCCCACCCACCCACGATACCAGCACGAACACCCAAGACCAACTTTTAAAGCGCTCACCGTGGTAACAACT